CACAGGGACCCCGGGACCCCCGAGCCGGCACAGGGACCCCGGGACCCCCCGAGCCGGCACAGGGACCCCGAGCCAGCACAGGGACCCCGGGACCCCCCGAGCCGGCACCGGGACCCCCCGAGCCGGGCACAGGGACCCCGGGACCCCCCGAGCCGGGCACAGGGACCCCGGGACCCCCCGAACCAGCACAGGGACCCCGAGCCGGCACAGGGACCCCGGGACAGCACAGGAACCCCGGGACCTCCCGAGCCGGGCACAGGGACCCCGGGACCCCCCGAGCCGGGCACAGGGACCCCGGGACCCCCCGAGCCAGCACAGGGACCCCGAGCCAGCACAGGGACCCCGAGCCAGCACAGGGACCCCGGGACCCCCCGAGCCGGCACAGGGACCCCGAGCCGGCACAGGGACCCCGAGCCGGGCACAGGGACCCCGGGACCCTCCAAACCAGCACAGGGACCCCGAGCCAGCACAGGGACCCCGGGACCCCCCGAGCCGGGCACAGGGACCCCGGGACCCCCCGAGCCAGCACAGGGACCCCGGGACCCCCCAAGCCAGTACAGGGACCCCGGGACCCCCCGAGCCGGCACAGGGACCCTGGGACCCCCCGAGCCAGCACAGGGACCCCGAGCCGGGCACAGGGACCCCGGGACCCCTCCGAACCAGCACAGGGACCCCGAGCCAGCACAGGGACCCCGAGCCAGCACAGGGACCCCGAGCCCAGCACACCCTGGTACCCTCTGTGCCCTCCCAGCCCCGTGTCCCCACCGCTGACAGTGTCCCTTCCCCATCCCCGTGTCCCTGCCCCGTGTCCCCTTGTCCCCAAGGCTGGCACTGTGCCCGCAGAGCCCACCCAGAGCTCCCGGCAGCCCCAGGTGTGGATATCCTGGCATCGCTGTTCCCTGCTGAGGCAGAGCCTCCCCTGAGCTGGTCCCATCCTGCTCCCAGTGAGGCTCTGGAGGCTCCAGCAGAGCTGGGGACGTGGCTGGGACAGAGGAACCAGCCCTGGCACAGCCCCTGACCCCTCTCTCCTGTCACAGGGGGACATCGGGGGTCCCCTGGTGTGCAAGGACAAGACCCATGACCACTTCTGGCTGGTGGGACTGGCCAGCTGGGGCAAGGGCTGTGCCAGTGCCAGGAGGCCTGGCATCTTCACCTCCACCCAGCGCTTCCACTCCTGGATCCGTGCCCACGCCGGCCCCAGCCCGACAGGGCCAGCACCAGCACC